GCCGAACGCCGAGCAGCACAACTTCCACTACGTCTCACTGAGTCGCCAGCAGTCTCACAGGCTCCAGGCTGCAAGACAGCTGTCTAGCATCGCTGCTCAGTACTCAACGGCCGCGGGAACAAGCTCTCAGCAAACCAGCCTGTGTCCTGAGGTGGAGGACGGAGCCAGAGCTTCAGCAAACATCTGCACGCCAGACAAAGACAGAGAAGGGGACTCCAAGAAAAAAGAGCCCGACACTGAGGTAATTATCAAAAACCTTTTAAACCACACCTGAAGAAAAACATTGCATAATGCAAATTAATTTTTAAAATCAGATTTAACAAAGCTGACTTGCTGTCTATTGCCACATGGGCAGCTGTCTTATAAATCAACATCCTAACTGAAATGGAAACTCAAAATTAATGAATGAAAGACTCGACTCAATTGATTTCAGTAGAACTATACATTGACATTTTAAGCTAACGATGCAATACTTTAATGAAGCATAATACATAGTACACACAGAAATTGGTTTAAATAGTCATGTGTAGATTAGATAAAAAAAAAAAATCTATATTTTAGCTAGTGAATAATTATGATCAAATATATAGGTATATTTGTAATTAATTTGAAACATTTTTCAAACTTTGACCACAGTCTCAAAAAGGATTTTTCACTTTGCGGTGCATTTTGGGTTTGCCTTTTTCAACAAAGGATCAAAAGTTCAGTATGATTTTCAATATGAAAGAAACTAACATTTAATTTTATTTAATTTAAGAATTAATTTTATTCAGCAAGGATGCATTAAAATGATCGAAGAAATTTACCATGTTATAAGATTTCTTTTTCAAATAAATGCTGTTTCTTTGAACTTTTTATTCATCAAAGAATCCTGAAAAATAAAATGTATCATAGTTTTCACAAAAATATGAAGCAGCACAACTGTTTTCAACGTTGATAATAATCAGAAATGTTTCTTGAGCAGCAAATCAGCATATTAGAATGATTTCTGAAGATCATGTGACACTGAAGACTGGAGTAATGATGCTGAAAATACAGCTTTGATCACAGGAATAAATTACATTTTACAATATATTCACACAGAAAACACTTATTTTAAATTGTAATAATATTTCACATTTTTACCATTTTTTCTCTGTATTTTTAATCAAATAAATGCAGCCTTGGAAAGCAAATGAGGCTTCTTTCAAAAATCTTACCAACCCCAAACTTTTGAGCGGTAGTGTAAATTACTACTTTAACATTCACGTTTATTTTAATGCATTTGGAAATGTTAACATATATTCACATAGAAAACAGTTATTTAAAATTATAATAATATTACTGTTTTTGCTGTATTTTTGCTCAAATAAATGCAGCCTTGTAAACAGAAGAGAACATTAGAAAAACTAACTGACCCAAAACTTTTGAACTTAAATGACCTCATTTATGATGGAAATGGAAATAAATACATAAACGGGCATGAAATATATATTCAAATAAATGTATGATTTTAGTTTAAATGATTTTATTATGTGAGAAGAAAAAGTGAAAAGTGATACAAGAGACATGAAACAAGCACAAAATCAGGGGCTGGAGATAAAGGTTATACGGTTTAGCTTTATTATACAAAACATCTGACCTCAAGATTGACCGATCAAAATCAAATCTCCGAAAGAGCCTTTTTGTTGTCCTCCTCTTCATCTGGTGTATGATTCATGTGTTTTTTTTCCTGGAGCAGGTGGAGTGTGGAGACACGCAGAGGGCCGATGAGGACACGCGGCCTGCAGCAGCTGATTCAGTCAGCGAGTCTCACTCTGAGACCTCTGACCCCGGGCAGATCAAACAGGCCGACGCAGAGGAGACTCGACCTCAGAGTGCCATCAGCAGCGCTGCTCACCTGCAGGCAGGCAGCAGCAGCACCGAGCACTCGTCTGATCACACGTCCCCTCCAAAAACCCCCTCCGCTGCCAGCCTGGCCGAGTCCGTGCAGTCCACCACACACAGTGAGTGTCACGAGAAACCAGCGTCATCTGAGTTTACTGAGATCCTGCTGGTGTAGTTAGACAGAACATTGCAAAAAAGGCCTGCACACTATGAGGATGAAAAAAAGACAACAATAAGGTGCAAGATTTAAGAGTCATTTTAAAGAAATATTTCAGCCAAAAATGAAAATTTGCTGATAATTTACTCACCTTCAGTCCATCCAAGATGTAGATGAGTGTGTTTCTTCATTAGATTTGGAGAAATGTAGCATTGCATCACTTGCTCACCAATGCAGTGAATGGGTGCCGTCAGAATGAGTCCAAACAGCTGATAAAAACATCACAGTAATCCACACCACTCCAGTCCATCAGTTAACATCTTGAGAAGAGAAAAGCTGCATGTTTGTAAGAAACAAATCCATCAGTAAAACGTTTTTAACTTCAAACCATAATTTCCAGTCAAAATAATCCAGTAATCCACAAAATAGTCCATAATCCATAATAAAGCTTCCTCCAGTGAAAAACTGATCTGGTCTGAATCAGGAGAGAAATCTGCACAGATCAAGCACTGTTTATAAGCCAAAACAGCTCTAAACAAATATGTGGGTGGATTTTGATGTGAGAGAGAACAGGGCGGGAAGCATTATTTTGGATTATGGACTTGTATTTTGGCTGGAAATTATGGTTTGAAGTTAAAAACGTCTTACTGATGGAATTGTTTCTTACAAACATGCAGCTTTTCACT